AAAAAAAAAAAAAAAAAAACAAACAGAAAACAACTCGTAAAGTTCCCCGATGAGCCAAGGGGAGACGGCACATATCGTGTTGTCAAGAAGCAAGATTACAAGATTAAAAAAATAGAAAACTCCTCTCCGAAAGTTTATCGTGTTGTCGAGAAGCAAGATTAAAAAAATAGAAAACTCCTCTCTGCAAGTTCGTACTAAATAGCAAAAGCAAAAGCAAAAGCAAAAAAAAAAAACAGAAAACAAAACGACTTTCGAGATCAAACATGGAATAATTAAAGGTCCAGGCAGAAGGAAAGAGGAGGAGAAGAAAGAAGAAGAATGCACCTTATACTCCAGGACGGCTATGGCGGCCGGAGCCTTCCCTGTCAGTACCTGCAATGAAGAAAAAGAAGAAAAGAAAAAGGTGACGGAAGAAGAATAAAAAAGAACGAGGAACGACATCAGCAGCAGCAGCAGAAGAAGAAGAAGAAGACACTATTAGAGAAGCGGAATCAAGGAGAAGGAACGCATCTGATTCAGCGGTAGCAGCAAGAAGAAAAAGGAGGAGGAAGGAGGGATGGTATCAGCGACCGCAGCAGCAGAAGAAGGACAACTAGAAAAGGTACCTGAGAAGAAGGACAACTAGAAACAGTACCTGAGAAGAAGAAGAAGAAGAAGAAGGAGGAGGAGGAGGAGGAGGAGGAAGGATAGCAACGGTATTAATAGCAGCAGCAGCAGCAGCAGCAGCAGCAGCAGCAGCAGCAGCAGCAGCAGCAGCAGAAGAAGAAGAAGAAGAAGAAGAAGAAGAAGAAGAGGAAGAAGAAGAAGTACAGAAGAAAAGAAGAATAAAGCGAAAAGGTAACAGAGAAGAGGAAAGCGAAAAGGTAACAGAGAAAAGGAAAGAAGGAAAAGGAACGGTATCAGCAGCGTCAGCAGCGGAAGAAAGAAGGAGAAGAAGAAGAAGAATGACAATCAAAGCCAATTGCTTTGCACACACTCAATAAAGAAGAAGGAAAACGGAAGAAGGAATGGTATAAGCAACAGCAGAAAATGAAGAAGAAGAAGAAGAAGAAGAAGAAGAAGAAGAAACGCTCGGAGTCTGTGGTGACTAAAAGGAGGTGATCAGATAAGTGAGAGACAGAGAGGAAGCGAGAGACGCGACTGCAAGATTCACATGAAGGAGCGAGAGAAGGGACGGGGAACTTGAAGGCTCAGAGGGCGACCCGTCAACGGCCGAAGAATCTGTCTCGGCCGACTTGTCACGAACCCTCGGGGATGGACCTTCACTGGGGACAGAGAGAGAGGGAGCGGGAGTGGAAGACGGGGAGAGAGAGGGAGCGGGAGTGGGAGACGGAGACAGAGTAGAGTTCTCTCCGAATGCAAGCAGAGCTGTCTTGTTGATTTCACCGACGAAGAGTTGATTAGACGGAATATAAGGATCGTCTAAGAGATTCCCTACAAGAAGAGTGCTCTCGTTCCTTGCAAGCGCGATGCATTCAGGCCGAATTGCATTCGCGACCACATCCGTCATGTTCACTATGGACCGTCGATCTGCACTCAATCTAACGAGCCGCACAGACTTCTTACCCAAATCTCCAACGAACAGATGGCTCCCCTCTCGTGTCAAAGCAAGGCCCCATGGCAGAAAATTCAAGCCAAAAATGTCCCTACCCAGCGACACAATCTCGCCACCAACCGCTACCCCCGCTCCTCCTCCTCCTCCTCCTCCTCCTCCTCCTCCTCCTCTTCCGGCCGTCAGATTCACTATGTGGAGCTTTCCCGCCATTCCATCTCCCGCGAGATCTGCAACGAAGAGCCAGCTGGCGTCCTGTGACAATGCCATGCCGACCTGCTCAGTCAGTGGGAGATCGTACGTTCTATTGATCGACTTCGTGTTGGCATTAATTACCACAACTGATTGATTAGTAGTCAAGTAGAACATGCCCTCGACGGGGTCAAAGGCCATTCGCGAGTACATGTTCAGTACTTGTCCCCTGCGCTTGAGCGTCATGTCGCTGGCACCTTGTTGCTGGTAATTCGTCGTCGAGACGCTCGGCGCGCTCGCGTTACCCCGCAGTTGGAAGAAAACGCCAGTTTGGTTGGTGTTCCTCGAGAGGTCGACGGTTCGAACCATGTCGTTGTAATTGTCGAGGACGTACAGGGTATTGCCGTCAGCCGACAGCGCCAACGAACTGGGAAGATTGAACACTGCCTTCTTCCCCTCGCCTTCTACATACCCCTGAAGATAACGTGTGCCCGCCACGAGTGATAATGCTCGGGTAGACAGATCGAACCTCCAGATCTCCCCGCGCTTAAACGTATCTGAAGACATATTGATCAAAATATTGGCCACAAAGGGCGTGAACCACAACGAGAAATAACCGGATCCGGATGAGGACGAGTTGTCCGCCCTGGCCATGTGGATGCTCTTGACATTCGCATAAAAAAAGCCTCCATCGCTGCTTGATGGGGCGAGATTATTTGGGGCAAGTACAGTATTTTCAAGAAAACCAAAAACCGTCCGAGTGGGAATGAAAGCCTCGTCGGCACTCGAGGCGGGGTTCTGTGCATATGCCCCGTAAAGTTGAGGACCCAGGGAGAGAGAGAACCAACCACTCTCTCCTCCTCCTCCTCCTCCTCCTGTTCTCCTAATGCCATTCCCATCCAACCCCACGCTGCAGATACTCATCACGAGAACAATCCATGACCTCCAACTCGGCGTCATTGCGCTGAAAAACTCACAGCCGCCCCCACCACCGCCGCAGCGTCTCGTTGCGCGCAGAGCCGCCGCCATCAGTAGAGTCGGACGTCAATACGGGTATTTTTGTCGTTGCTTGAGTGTTTTCTCCTCGTCGCTCAGGGACTCCTTCACCCTCTCTCGTCTGCAGAGCTCCTTGATATCACGAGAGAGAAACAACATAGCCTTTGTCAGCGCTCGTCCTCTCTCTCTCTCTCTCTCTCTCTCTCTCTCTCTGTGTCCACAGAAAAATTCAAGACATCTCTCTCTCTCCACAGAAAAATTCAAGACATTAAGTTCAGTTGAGGGAAAGACTAACTCAAAAATTTCCAGGCTGTTTTGAAAACTTTCAGTTTATCAAGAGGTTTCCAGTTTATGGTGACCACTTTTTTCTCAAAATAAACTGACAAGTTATGTTAGTCTTGAAAATCTCAGGCATAATATTTAAGTTTAATACAAATTTGAAATGTTATGTATTGCCTGAAATCAATCTGAAATTTTATCTTTCAGTTTGAATTGAAACTGAAAAGTTACCTCTGCCTGGATAATTAAACTGAAAACTATGATTTGTTGCCAGAAAACCAAACTGGCGTGCAATTTATGATTATAAAAGTAAACTGAAATGTCATTTGTGGACGGAAAATTGAACTGAAAGATTATATTTAAGGAAAAGATCAACTGAATTTGTTTCTTTGGCTTGAAATTGAGCTGATGTGTTTGAGGCCTTCAGGGTGCCACCACGATCCAGATTCTTGGTTGTAACGTCTCTCTACCTATGTGCCCGCTGCTCTCCGTGAAACGCGGATTCCTTTTGCCCAAAAGGAAGAAATGGCTGGGGGCTGGGGAATCCTCGGAGCCCAAGGAATTTCCTTCCGAGTGTTTTCACTTTTTTTTTTTCCGACTGCATCCCAGAGGATAGGCGGGGACTTTACGCACCCGAGGAGTGTCGAACCAGTCCCTAAGTGCCAGTGTGATGAGGGTTACAATCCTCTGAGGGAACAGCCAGAGCAGATCACGGACTCAGATTGTCAGATTCCAAAAACAGAAGAAAAAAAAAATCAGAAAACAAAAAAAGGAAACACGCATTCGGCCATGAAAATGGCTGGATACATCAGGGTTGCAATCCTCTGAGGAAACACAGCCAGGGCAGTTCAAGGATTCCGCCCTGCCTCTTTGGCAGGGGACTCATAATAAACAAACGAGAAATAAAAAAAGAAAACAACAAGTTTCAGAATGTGATCGTCTTTGCTGTAGGATGCATTCTGTAGAGAAAGACTGTGAGCACGGCCTCCTAGACTACCCTGCCCGACATCATTGCAGTGCATAAGCTTTTTTTTTTTTGCTTTTTCTTTCACCTGCAGGCAAAAGAAAACTAAGATTTATGGGACTCTCGGACCCTGGGCCCCACCACCGATTTCTTCCGGGACAGACCAGTACATTGTAATTTCCCAACACTGGCAGAGGTACTGGTGGTTTGAGAAGCATCGTTTCTAGCTCTACGCTGTGTGAAATTGCCGTCCAGGAACAAGGGTAATTTTCAGAGAACATCCTGTCACATTAATGGGCCTCGCTGGACTACTCTCGAAATGTGCAAAACGAGAGTGAGTCTTCCTGTAGAATATGGAAAGATACACCACACCGCCATGATTTTTGTCGCTGGACTACGCTCGAAATGTGCAAAACGAGAGTGAATCTTCCACTAGAATATGGAAAGGTACACCACACCGCCATGATTTTTGTCTGTTGTGCATGCCGATCGAGAGTAGTGCAGCGAGGCCCAATGTGTTCGCTCAGGATTATGATTCGGTTTGCTGTGGTTTCTGAATATGTTCCTAATCAACCAATGAAAGGCCTTTTACGATTCAGACCCCAAATTGGGGTCTCAGGGTCAGAGGCCCTGGCTACGAAAGGCCGAAGTCAGTCAATTTCAGAAAAGTCACAGCCTGGTACCTCAGTCGTCCAGCCCAACAGGCACCCAGCAAACAGTCACATCTTAGGGGCAAGAATCACGTTCCATAATGAAAAGTCATATTGAAGAGTCACATCCCATGAGTAAGGGGCAGTCCCACAGGCACGAGTCATGTCCCAGAGGCAGGAGTCACAGTCCACAGTCAAAACCATATGCCAAAATCGAAAAGTCATGACTCAAAGGCCCCCCAAGCAGCAGCAGACCAATGGAAATTCGGGAAGGTTCCAGGCCTTGACATTCGACAGCAGACAGGCTGTGGGGGATGTGGTACCGGAACCCTGTCAGGCCCCAAGAAGCAGAGGCTGGCACGAGTTGAAGTGCAATCCAAGACTACAAAAGGACTGGCCCGCCTCCTGTTCGGCAGATTGGTCATTCGCATGAAGTGTGGAAGTGCTGGTGCACTTGTGCGCTATTGTGAGGCGCAGAGCGCTGAAGCCAGAGTGCTGCGCAAAAATAGATAGATAGATAGATAGATAGATCGAGAGAGAGAGAGAGAGAGAGAGAGAGAGAGAGAGAGAGAGAGAGAGAGAGAGAGAGAGAGAGAGAGA